TCTGCAGCATCAGACACTGTTGGCAACCTCCTCCTCCATTAAATCCTCTCCTCACTTGGCTTCCATGACAGCCCTCTCTCCTCACTCCCATCCTCCCTCGCTGACCAGTCCTCATCTGTCCATCCTACCCATGTTATTGCCAGATTCATCTCCCGAAAGCACAGCTCCGACAGCTCCCAATAAGTGCCTCTCTGTTCAGAAACCATCAATGGCTCACCACTGCCTGCAGAAAAAACATCATGGAGTTGTAAAATAATGCAACTATATGCAATACATAATATCTAACGCAATAATATGTCAGGGGGTTCAAACTTTTTTAAGAAGCAGAATCCATTAAGAAGAATATTTCTAGGAGCCCAATGTGTAAAAAGGATGAAAACAACATGCCCTTTAAACACAGCTCCTATTGAAGAAGGGAGTGGGGAACCCAGGAAATTCTAAGGCTTTCACAGCACAATTGGAAAACCAGTGAACAAATTAAATTTCTCAATCTGCAGATGAGAAAACAGGCCCAGAGAGGAGAAGTGATTGGTAGACAGTAGCACAGGATGTGTATTAGTCAATCAACACAGTTTTCATTCAGTGCCTACAGAGTGCCAGGCATGTTCTAGGTGCGAGGGATAAAGCAGGGAACAAGAGTGACACGGTCCTGCCTTGGAGGGGATGACAGCCGAGTGGGGAACGAATAAACTATTACTGACGTGGTTACACACATGCAAGGGGAGCTGTGAGAGCACATAGGAGGGGACGTGCCTGATCTGAAGGGCACAGTGGGCCACCCTGGGGAAGTGACACGTGCAAACTGAGCCCTACAGGATAGACAAGTAACTGGCCACAAAGAAGGGGAAGAGCACTGGTGCAGATGGAACAGCTTGGGTGAAGGCCGAGGAGGTGAGTTTGTGGCTGGAACCTCAGGAAAGCCCCGGAGCTGGGCGAGACAAGGCTGCAGAAGCAGCAGCCACACAGGCCATGCTGAGGACTTGACATAGGCCTCAGAGGCTGGCAGGCCAAGGAAGGGTTCTTAGGTGTTGGGACCTGATCATTTGCATTAGAAGACAGCCCACTGCTAAATGCAATGTGGAATCGTGGAGTGGATCCTGGAAGACAAAATAGGCATTAGCGGAAAAACGAGAAATCTGAATAAATTCTGTAGTTCAGTTAATAGTGTTATACCAATGCTGATTTCTTGATGTTGACGAATGCACCATGGTTATATAAGATGTTAACATTAGGGGAAGCTGGATGAAGGATGTACGGAAACTCTGTACCATCTTTGCAACTCTTCTGTAAATCTGAAACTGTTTCAGAATAAAAAGTTTTGAAAGTACATGTATCCCTCTGGCATCACAGCAGTGAGGAGCAAAACTGGATGCAGGGAGAGAGATTATAGTAATAACGATGACTAACACTTAAACGGTGCTTCCTGTGCACCAGGCATCTTTCCAAGCACTTAATGTGTTTAATTCACTTAATCCTCACAACAACTCCATGCTATTATTTCCCCTCATTTTACAAATGAGGAACCTGAGCACAGAGAGGTTAAGTCACTTGCCCAAGGACACGCAGCTACTGAGTGGCAGCGCTGGGGTTTAAGGATTCCAATGCAGGCAGTCTAGCTCCAGAGTCCCGTGTGCTTCACCATTACATTTTACTCCCTCCCCTCAGTGTGTGCTGGCCGTACTGTCAGAGGATATTGCGAGGATCAGGCAGAAACCATGAGCTCATGGGCGAGGGTGATAACAGTAGAAATGGAGCAACATGACTAGACTTAAGATATATATACTGGAGGCAGAATCAACAGTGTTTGCTTTTGATTGGAATATGGTGGTTGAAGAACAGGGAAGAAGCAAGAATGGCTCCTGGGCTTCCAGCTTAAGAGCAGGGAGCAGAGCCCAGTCTCCTGATGCTTGGTCCCGTGCTTCCTCCTGCCACTGAGGGAAAACTTTTAGACCTTTTGCAAACTGGACGCACCTACTGTCCCTTTCTCTTAACATCCCCAGAATGCAGAACAAATTGGACTGCCTGCTGTTCCCACACAGGCCCCGATCTCTCCCACCTCCGTGTCCTTGTGCAAGCTGTTCCCTCTGCCGAAATTCTCTCCTTGGTCTCCCTTGGTCCAAATCTGATCCACCCTTCAGTGCCTAGTCAAATGTCTTCCAGAGGGCTTTCCTGCTCTCCACAATGAGAAGCACTCACTCAAAAGATGCCAGCATTTTTTAGCTCTCTTTGGCAGTGAACAATATCCATCCTATAATATAGTTATTTGAGCAGGATCTTGGCTTTGCTCACTTTTGTATGCTCAGTACCTAGCACAGTGGGTACTCAAAAAGAGATTTGTTGAGTGAATCGTCTCTCTGAGTAAACAAGCTCTATCTTATTTTCCTTTGCCCCCTCCCTGGCTCCTTTTCCTGTCCCCTGCAACCCACTACATACACACATACACACACACACACACACACAGACACACACACCCCACCTGGCACCCATGTTGGTGGTTTGCATGTTTTAGGGGCTTTTTTAAAGATCATGAGTGGATGACCATACTTCGCTCCATCTTCTCCACTAACCCATCCCCAGGCAGCCATGCTGACCCCAGACACACCCTCTCTGGAAGCCCATTTAAGAGCAGAAGATCAAAGAAGCCTTATCCAAGGATGGAGAAGTGGGAGAACATAAGCAGGGAACTAGGGGGCACTGGTATATCTGGAATTGCCCCCTCAAACCTATCCATTCAGCTGCCAAAATGTGCCAGGCAGAGTCTGAGACTAGAGCAAAGAACCCAATTCAATGAATCCTTAAAGCACTAGGGTCCAGAAGGGATGTGCCTGGCTGCTGGATTGGGCTACCACAAATCATGATAAGGTATTCCTCAGCATAAAGCCCTTCTAGTGGCTACCCAGTATTCATGGCATTCACGGATCTGCAGGCCTCTCCTTTCTCCAACCCTTAGGCTCAGGCTACAGTCCACCCTTTGTGGGCTCTCCTCACCCAGCTGTTGCTGGCCTTTGTGCCTTTCCTCACGCTGACCCCACTACCTTAAATCCAGTCTCCTTAATGCCTCTCCCTCCAGCGCAGGCCTCTGTCTGATAGATGACTCACTCAGCCCCTGTGTCCCCTTCTCCGCTCCCCCCAGGCTGAACTGGGCACTTTCTCCCACACCCACCAAATCCTGTGTGCACATCTCTGGGACCCTCCGCATATTAAATGCTTGTTCTAACATCTGTTTCTGTGTTTGTCTTCCTCCTTGCCCCCCAACTAGACAGAGTGCCTTTAGGACAATGACGATGTCTCTGTATCTCCAAGCCTGGCACAGTGTTTGGTACAAAGAAAGCCGGGTTACATTTGTTAAATGTAAAAGATGTGTACATGAGTGTGTAAGTGTTCGCGCGAATGTCGAATTAGACTACTTCAGCGAAAAACCGAGAGACTGGCCACCGCCAGATCACAAAGAGTGGAAAGTGGTGCCCTCCTTGCCCATCCTCCTCCTCCCAGGAACTAGAATTTACATTTTATCAGGAACGGCCACTTCCCGTCTGCACCTGCCAGCTGGGCAAAGGGCGGCAATGGGCAAAGGGAGCATTGTCTGGTCAGGTGTCCGGGCAGAACTCGGTTCTCCTTATGGGGAACCCCGTCTGTCTGTCTGCCTCCTTCTGGGGGAGAGGATGGGGGCAGGAGGTCCAGAGGGAAGGAGCAGATGACAGCCTTCAGGCTGCCAAGGACCCAGGGGCCCAGCCGCCTTGGCAGGAAGCCGACCACACCCGGATGTGAACGGGATGGCTTGGAGAGTGCCTGCTCCGCCGCGGGCACTGACTGGATGGGTCACTTTCGCGGGAATCCCGCAAATCACTCACAACAAAAGTGCGGGAAGAGGGAGCGGAGCTCGGGTTCACGCTCTGTTTGGGGACGGCACGGGCTTCAGTTTTCGGAAAAGGAACCCCTGAAGGGAACGTGGATTTGAAAAGACCAGAAACCCCTGTGGCCGCCTCTCACCCACGAATGCCCACCGCCCACTTCTCTGGCAGCTTCCGGTCGGTCCCCGCATAGCAGTCTCTCCATTTAGCGTTCAGCTGATGCAGAGGAGAGGGAGCTCCGGCCACTGGATTCTAGTCCGAGCTCTGCTACTTTCTGCCCTTGTGCTCCTAGGCGAGTCGCCTTCCCCTTCTTTGGGCCTTTGTTTCCTCATCTGTAAAATGGGGCCAGGATTGGAGTAGAGGGCCTGTAGAAGCCCTTTCAGCTCGGACACTGCTTGATCCAGTATTCTCCATACTGCACGCTCGCTCCTCCACCACCCTCCCCATCTTAACTCCACCCCCACCCAGCGGCTTCTCCCCCGACGCCGGCCGCTAGGGGTCACTGCCTCCCTTTGTCAGCGACAGAGGAGGTTGGCTGGCCCTCCCGCCCTCTCCCGGGCTGAAAGGCGACCGAAGGGACATCTCCCGAGCCAGCGGGCCTGAGCCGGACCCCACGGCCCTCGCTTGGGCTCCGCCTCTGCCTCGGGCCGGAAGGTGTGAGCGGTCGGGCGGAGGCCGGGGCCGGGCGCGGGCCGCGCGTCGGAGCCACGAGGGGGTTAACGCTAACCCCTCCCCCTGTCTGACATCACGGGGAGAGCGGGCGAGAGGCTGGAGCTGGGCGAGTGAGAGAGAGAGGGAGAGGAGCGAGCGCGGCTCGACTCGGCGCCCAGGCAGCTCCACATTGTTGCGAATCGCCGGGACCGGGCACAGTGAGCGGCGGGGACGCGCGGCGCAGCCGGCTCGCTCTCCTCGCGCGGAGCCGCACCGCCGGAGCCGCCCGGGCAGCTGGCC